TTAACCTGAGGGACTTGTCATTTATTATAGGGGAGTGGTGGGGGAGGTGAGATTGGGGTCAAGAAAAAAAAATACAGCGAAAGAGGGGGTCGCCAAAAAATTATCACAAAACTATAGGGGTGTGTGTGTGTGTGTGTGTGTGTGTGTGTGTGTGTGTGTGTGTGTGCGTAAGTCCGGACTGATGCCGATTTATAGTGCTAGCACACCGAGATACCATGCGGCAGTTTAACATGAATACCCAACTCAGACACAGTATACTGACTCAGAGCCGACCAGTCCTTATTTTAGCCCCTTAATGCCGGGTGCCAGACAGGGTAACACAGAATACCATATTTTACCATATTTTGGTATGACGCGGCCGGGGATCGAACCCCGGACTTTCCGCTCTACGGGCGGACGCTCTACCTCTAGACCACGGAGGCGGTCTAGCAGTAGTAGTAAAGAAATAGTAGCAGCAGCATAAGTATTATCAGTACAGTTGGTAGAAGTAAGTGTTTGGTAAAACGTTATGGAAAGTGTAGTATTAATAAAATTAGCAGAAGCGTGGCGTCAAGGCATATTAGAAGTGTGGCGCTAAGGTAAATTTGATGTTAGCAATGTGTGTGTGTGTGTGTGTGTGTGTGTGTGTGTGTGTGTGTGTGTGTGTGTGTGTGTGAAAATGACACAGTTCATTTTTAAAAAAAATATATATAATAATGATTTTTAACAATATTTAGAGACTTGTTATTCATTATAGGAAAGGGGGCCCCGGTTCATGAAAATATGTTACATTTATGGGGGCAAAACATGATATAGTCCTAAGACCAACCCCTAACCCCAGTGTGATTGTAGTACTATTGTGTATTGTTGAGGGCGATGAACTCCGTGGTACGTATTGAACTTGTGTAACAGACAATGTGTCACTCATTGCGCACGTGCTGACCTTTGAAATATGAATACCAAGTAACTAGAGCTGCAACGATACACCGTGATATTGTACTATAACCTGTACTGACCAAAGGAATATCAGGATTTCACAAAATATTAGAAACGATTGTTAGAACAGATGCAAGCATTCACGCGTCGCACTAGACTAACATCTAGTCTCTGAAATGAACATATCGTACATAAAAAAACAGTTGTTCAGTTATCTTAATAAATATATAATAAAAAGGAGCCCAGTGACTCTCTTCATTTTCAGATACTGTGATCTAGACTTGCCAAACATTATAGACTTGCATGGGCTGTATTTGATATATATTTGTATGAGGGTCTATAAGACAGACTAGCGTCGCACCGAAGGCCCTGGTTCTATCCAACGTGCCCTGCGCTCTAATGAAACTGTGTTATTGCTAACTGAAATAGCTAACCATTCATTCTTTTTTGTTGTCTAACGCCGCACTCAGCAATATTCCAGCTATATGACGGCGGTCTGTAAATAATCGAGTCTGGACCAGACAATCCAGTGATGGACATCATGAGCATCGATCCACGCAGTTGGGATACGATGACGTGCTTCAACCACGTCAGTGAGCCTGACCACCCGATCCCGATAATTAACTTTTACTGTTGCGCCATACTTCAAGAGATTTATGTACTCAAGTACTCCTTCTATGTTCTCGTTTGATATTAAGGGACTTGTGAGTGAGTGAGTGAGTTGGGATTAACGCCGCTTTGAACAATATTTAACGTGGGATGAAGACCAGATGTGATGCAGGTCCCAGATGTTGAAACCCACGAGTATGATACTGACAAACCAAGAAACATAATAAACGCTAATCTGGGATTCGAACCAACGATCTTAGGGTGCTGTTTTTTGTTGTTTTTTTGTTGTTTTTTTGTGTGTGTTTTTTTTGTTCAACGCCGCACTTAACAATAGTCCAGCTCCATCACGTCGGTATGTAACATGATCGAGTCTGGATCAGGCAATCCAGTCATTAACGGCAAGCATGGGTTGCTGAAGACCTATTCGGCCCCGGATGTTCACGGGTTGTCAGTGAGTGAGTTGGCTTTAACGCCGCTTTGAACAATACATTATGTGGGATGAAGGCCAGATGTGATGCAGGTCTCAGATATTTACCACTTTGGTGAAACCCACGAGTATGTTGCTGACAAACCAAGAAACATAATAAACGCTAATCTGGGATTTGAACACACGATAACAGGTTGCTGGCACACCCAGGGGAGACTACTCTGCTCAGCGAATGGCGGCACCATATATAAGACGACACGGCCACAATGGACCCGGTGATTTGATATTCAATATAGTTGCAAGGTATCAAATGATGATTAATCCATACATGTTTCCAGGTCTAAGGTTTCAATCCTATGGGAGAGATGAGTCCGGGTGATAATTGAACAATTACATCTCGCTTGTGAAATTGAATCTAGCTTTATCTTTAATATGAAATTGTATGATTCCCCAAGGTACGGATGATCAAACGGGGTCATCTATCTGTTCTCAAACATCAAGAGCGGCGGTTGTGGGAACAATGATTAACAGTTATGTTCCAAACTTTAACGGCGTCATCTCGATGTCAGTCGTTCCATTAAAAGTATATCGTGTTATCCGTGGTTCGAAACAAGCGGAGTACCGATATTAAAGATATGAGAGGGACAGAAGGAAAATCGATTTTTCTTTTACAAAAAAAAACTTTTGAAAGTTCACGAACTTCAATCGATGTTTAATATAAGAAAAATGTCTTTGATAAGGCTTTGTTTGCATGTTGTTTGTTTGTCTTGTGCACTCAGCAATATTCCAGCTATATGGCGGCGGTCTGTAAATAATCGAATCTGGGCCAGACAGTGCAGTGATAAACATCACGAGCATCGACCTACGCATTTAGGATACGATGACATGCATCAACCAAGTCAGCAAGCCAAAAACACCGGATCCCGTTAGTCGCCTCTGACGACAAGCATGGGTCGCTGAAGACCAATCCGGCTAACCCGGCTCGCCACGTGTCTTTGAAAACATGCTTACATTAGGGAATTGGAATCTGGCCCGTTGGTCTGGTTTAAGAGTGATCATCCAGTTTTGAGGTAATTTAATTGCTAACCGGGTTCGTTGCGCTTTTAGATAAAATATGCACAACATATTAAGGGATTTCCGAAACTCAAATTACATGTGTCGCGTGTGCAAATTGAATAAAAAAAACAAAAAATTGTTTTATCTTTATATTTTTCATATACATCAACATCTACATCTTCACTGATCGAAATGAATACCAAACGGGTCGCATGTCACAATATTTTTTCTCATTTCGATACCTGTATATTTTACAATGTCAGACCACTTGATCAATGTGGATTATACTTAGAGTTTTGTTATAAATGAAAACTAGTGTCATATTAAAATATTCAGGCCCCAAACCTCAGAAGCTAACAGTCATGTAATTGCTCGTGACCTTGTGACGTCTTACATTAACTCTTTAGGACCCCACGATCCCATGTTGGGCGGAAGAGCTGATTACATTAGTTTACAGGGGTTAAAACGTGGTCTTAGGGCCATCGTTCATTTTATCAGCTATCTGTCTGTTTGGTCTAAATTCGATAATTTTCAGGTGATATATCTGTAACATATACATCCATGCTTGTTAGCATTGAAGTACATGCTTTAAATCAAGTATGTAATGTTAATTTGCACCTTCAGCATGTGAGTTCACTATAAAAGCGGGAATGACATTTGAATGACAGGAAATCAGCATCTTGAAATCAACAACAGCACGCAAGGCACGATCAACACGGGAGAAATCCGGACGTGCTCTGGCGCGAAATTTGATACGACTCGTACCACTGCACTCAATGCACAATTGTTGACGCCAAGTGGTGACCGCTGTCAACTTGTGGAATTCACCGATAACGCTAATTTGTTCCTACTCGTAATCTTTCGGTTACAGAAACGTTATATATGTAATTTGTGAAATCTGAGAGTTAAAAATATAAGTGTTGAAAAGGGAAATTCTTACAGATAAAAAATAATGAATAAAAAACATAACTCTTGCTCAGAAAAATAGTTTTACCAATTAAATTCTAACGCGTGTTAATTATATTGTATGCTAGTCATTAAATATTCCAGCTATATCGCATCTGCCTTTAAATTCAAACAATCTGGCCAGACAAACCAGTGGTTGAAGGTATGAACATCGATCTGCTCCGTCCGGTACGATGGTATACAATCAACCAGGTCACACAATGTGACCACCCGATCCTCTTTAATCAGCCCTTACGATAAGCATGTGGTACTGGGGACCTATCCTGCCCGTCGGGATTTCGAAGAGCGGTAAGCGAAGAGACAATTGGATTTTGTGGTGCACGATCAACGATATTTCTCCTTCATGCGGGAGCACGCATCTCGTCATCATGAAGCTAAGTCTATTAATACAATCGGGTGTGAAATCACACTAATTATACAAGTTGACAAGGCGGTGAAACCATTTACATACACTAGACATAACCTTGGCATGTGCATATTTCCAAGGTCTCGATTGTGAAATATTTTCATTAAAAATATTATATTATTTGCAAAACCACATGGTATTTGAAATCAAAATTTGAATTGTTAAAACCTCTTTTGTGTGTAAACTTGAATGAAATAATTAATATACTAGTAAATTATATCAACTATGCACACGAAGTCGTCTTTAACGTGTGTAACAATATCAAACATCAGATAGGTAGCTATATTAAAAATAAGATACAAACGTGTGTACTTTTACGTCTAAATTAATCTAGTCTTGCTGCCGTCGCATTGTCTCCCTGTATTGTTTCAGGAATAACATGTAATATGCATATTAACCGATATTTTTCTTATCGTTTAGAAAGTAAATAATATTTAACCACATATCAGAAAAACCGACGGACCGGAGCGCCAACACAAAGTAATATTACATTCGCGCGGTCACTATCGTAATACCGAAAACAAAAAAAGGAATATTTATGAAAAAATGTCCAAAGGTGTCAAAGCTTATGAATGCTAAAATTATATTCAGTATAAGCGAAAAAAAATCAATTGGACTTACCAGTGTTGAACCCGCTTGAGGCTTTCTCGCCTGTTAAAGTTACACTGAAAGTGAGCTGTTATGTCGTTTGCTTCACATATCTATGTAAACACGCGTTCATGACACGATTGGTGGAGACAGGCTTGCGAGCGGCACGGCACATGACCCTTATCACTCTCCCCAGTCATTTCCGTAACGTTTCAAGCATCAAGACACCCTCGAAGGTTTAGGCGTGTTGTTATTAATGGCCATCTTTTTGTATTCCGACCCCCTTTGTGTCGTTCGAAACTTCTTACATATATATATATGTGTTAAGAAAGAAGTATGCTATTTAAAGTATTTTTTTAGTATCACATTATGAACCATTGAATTAATTTCAAGATGTGAACGTTTAAATATCCCACGTGCTTGGACAGATGCGTGTTTGGCGCATGCGTTATTCATTTGGCTCGTTAGGTGCACGTGGTTGGCGATGGGTTGTCGATTTGGTCTTTTGGGAAGGGGAAGGGGGGGGGGGGGGGGGGGGGGTAGAGGGGCTAATTCACACAGTGATACGCGTGGAATCTTTTTTTAGGAAGTACTGTTAAAGGAGAGGGTTTTAAGAGTTCGGTAGTGTTTGTTTGTTGTTTGTTTGTTTGTTGTTTAACGCCGCACTCAGCAATATTCCAGCTATATGACGGCGGTCTGTTAATAATCGAGTCTGGACCAGACAATCCAGTGACTGACATGAGCATCGATCCACGCAATTGGGATCAATGACATGCATCAACCAAGTCAGCAAGCCTGACCACCCCATCCCGTTAGTCTCCTATTTTGAGAAGTATAGTCGCCTTGTACAGCAAGCATGGGTTGCTGAAGACCTATTCTTTCCCGGAATTTTGTAATTATATTTTATGTAACGTGTTTCCGCGACACAGGAAATGCGATGAACACTATGACACTGTTGATATGTGTTTCGGATGTACATATAGTTATCCCAGGGACTACTGTCCGCAGTGGTCAGGTTAGACCTCAAGTCATGGAACAGATCAGTAGAATATCTACTTTGAGTGAGTGAGTGAGTGAGTTGGGTTTACGACCGCTTTGAACAGCATTTCAGTTACATCACGGCGTGTCAGCATGTGGGAGGAAGGCCCGAAGTAGCCAATTTGGCGCTGACAAACCTAGAAATGTAAATAAGTCGCACGGGATTTGAACTAACGGTCACAGGCACTTGGGGACGCAAAACTGCACAGTAAATGGCAGCGCCTTAGACGCCAGGGCCCCGTTCCACAAAGAGAATGAGCGCTAAGGTGATCGTAACTCCCATACTTTAACACAGACTTACGATCGCCGTAGCGTTAAGATCTATTCGTGAGAACCTAATTCAATCTACTTCTTGTATTAGACCCCCAGGAGACCCGGGTTAGACCAGATCTCCCGTACTGCCTGTGGTGAAAGACGACTAAATTCATCTATCATCAGATCTGAGTTAACTGCATCTCACAAGGCGATAATCAGTTTCCCAATACAGTAAACTACGGTTATAACGAACTCAAAGGGACTACTAATTTTAGTTCGTTATAACCGTAGTTCGTTATAAGCACACATACAGCATAACTACAGCAAGTAGTCGGGACCAAAAAAGTAAGTTCGTTATATCCGTCAGTTCGTTATAAGCGTGTTCGTTATAACTGTATAGTGTAGTTTACTGTATAAGGATTAAAATCTGCATACTTTCAATAACACGAGATTTTATATTACCGGCGATATTGCTGTTTTCCACCCTAGAAGGGATGATATCGAACGTATAACGTCTGTCACTGTGTCAACGAATAGTTCAAGGGACATTACAAAAATATTAAATTTATTCATTTTGAAAAATAATTATTTGTTGTAATCAAAATTAATTGGTTCTCAGCAACAACAAAAAAATGTTCGCTGGAGGACATGATATATATGTGTTGCGTCCCTTAGCCGTGACAGGATCCGCTGTTCGTTGGTTTGAATCCAAGATTTGCCACTACCCTTGCCTTTGATCCCATATTTCATCCAAGTTATTCAAATATGAAACATGTGTGCCTTTGGACTTTCCTCCCAAATCAAGCTGATACGCCGTGATGTAAAACCAAACGTTAAACCAAACTCACTCACTTTTCACGAAACGAATTTCAAACTCAAAATCCATAAATATGCCAGCTCATTTATGGAATCTTTAATATCCAGTCGATGATGAGAAACAAGACACGTTTTATTTCATTTGAGCCAACGATACTCGTTCCCCAGGCGTTATTTATAAACGTGAGTGTATAAATATGTATAGGTCCACGTACTCCTTATCCTGCCCGCCATATGTGGGCGCCATTACATTGCGTGATGGTGGGTCAGTTACAGACGTACACTAACATGTATATCCTCAGTGTGTATTACTTGAAATAATTCGAGTTATAGTTCATACAGTCGAAAATCTTCCGGGGTAGAATAGGTCTTCAGAAACCCATGCTCGCCGTAAAAGGCAACTATGCTTGTCGTAAGTGGCGACTAACGGGTGGTCAGGCTCGCTGACTTGGTTGATGCATGTCATCGATCCTAATTGCGTGGATCGAAGCTCATGATGTCAATCACTGGATTGTCTGGTCCATACTCGTTTATTTACAGACCGCCATCATATAGCTGGAATATTGCTGAGTGCGGCGTTAAACAACAAACAAACAAACAGTCGAAAATCATATGAACATGGATGTACAGATTAACCTTGCTAATTCGAACTTTTTAAACTCGAATTATCGCTTCAAATGTTTCATTTGATAGTCCCGACCTAATTCGCATTAGAACTATGGTGAAGTGTTTGAACTTTGTACAACGATATATCGAGATGATAGTGTTCGAGTTAACTGTATACTTAAGTGAGTGAGTGAGTGAGTGGGTTTTGGGTGGGCGAGTGAGTGCGTGAGTGAGTTGGTTGTAACTCTGCTTTGAACAGTATTTCATTTCTATAATGTTTGAGGCGGGATCGGGTGGGCAGGCTCTCTTGGTTTACAGGCAAGTGAGTGAGTGAGTGAGTGAGTGATGCAATATTCCATCGAGAGTTCATAAGTTAAATGTACTGCTGAGTGAGTGAGTGAGTGAGTGAGGGATATTCCATCGAGAATTGATAGATTAAATGTACTGCTGAGTGAGTGAGTGAGTGAGTGAGTGAGTGAGTGATATTCCATCGAGAGTTGATAAGTTAAATGTACTGCTGAAGTCATTTGCGAGTAATTCTGTATATCCTGTACTTTGAAGTCAAGTGCTTTCGGTACAGATGAACCGCTGACTCTCGGCCCGCAATTATTAACTTGTTGTTTATGTATATAGAAGCCCAACTCGGAGACAACTCAGACGAGTTCCTGTTTTAAACAGACAAGGTCTTTGTTACTTACTGCTGGAACAAGGTCAGGTGACAATGGATGCCGATGTGCCGGTGACTGAGGAAGTCGGGCACGACGTCCCTTGTATCTGACCCCGGTGTGACAACTGCACTGGCGGGCAGGAAATCCAGATCGTACGTATTTATGTCCACACGTTTATACATTACGTCTCGCCTGCAAGTGGTTAGGTTAAACGAAAGAAAACGTCTCTTGTTTTCATGATCGCTGGGCGGAATTTGAAATGAGTGTGTGCGTGCGCGTGAGTGTATGTGTGTTGGTGCGCGTGAGTGTGTGTGTTTGTGTGTGTGTGTGTTTGTGTGGTCAGGTGAAAAAATAGAAAAGTGAGTTCGTTCACAGTTGACAGTTGACAGTTGAGCGTGCGCGTGAGTGTATGTGTGTTGGTGCGCGCGTGCGTGCGTGCGTGCGTGTGTGTGTGTGTGTGGTCAGGTGACAAAATAGAAAAGTGAGTTCGTTCACAGTTGACATTCTTTTACATTAGGGGCAGTCGGGTAGCCTACTGGTTAAAGCGTTCGCTCGTCACGCAGAAGACCCGGGTTCGATTCCCGACATGGGTCGATGTGTTAAGCCCATTTCTGGTGTCCCCCGCCGTGATATTGCTGGAATATTGCTAAAAGCGGCGTAAAACCATACTCACTCACTCACTCACTCACTCACCCACTCTTTCACATTAACCAATGCTTTGTACCCGCGAGGAATGTTTATAACGGTAAGGTTATACTGAGGATTAATTTTGTTAATTTGTTGTATAACGCCGCACTCAGCAATATTCCACCGACATGACAACGTCCTGTATTTTTCAGACTGGACATGACAAACAAGTGAGTGATATAATGAACAACGAAAATCCAAACGGAGTATATTGTTTTGTTTGTTTGTTTGTTGTTTAACGCCGCACTCAGCAGTATTCCAGCTTTATGACGACCTATAAATAGTCTCGACCATACAATCCAGTGATTGACATCATGAACATCGATCTACGCAAGTTGGATACGATGACATGCTTTAACCAAGTCAGGAGCCTGACCACCCGATCCCTTTAGTCGCCTCTTACGACAAGCATGGTAGCCTCTTACAGCAAGCATGGGTTGCTGAAGACATATTCTGACCCGTTATTCAGTATATTGAGGAACAGTGTGTAAATATACTAAAAAGTTAAGCAGGGATATTTTCCCTTCAAAACAGACACGTCAAATCAAATATCGATTTGATTCACAAGCAGAGCAATGTTATTGTTATGTGTGTGAGCTCAAATCCGACTGAATACTGTAACATTTTGTAGCATTTATTGACCACGACATTTCTCAAATGACAAAGATCTTTATTTTCGCTGAAGTCGTTGCTTGAATATGTATCGATTTGAAATAAATAAACGGAACGTCACGGGCCTGAAGGTCGTTCAACATCCAAAACATGGTATGAGATCTTTACTCGAGTGGCAAAAGGTCGATATCTTGAAGGACTATCGCGTGGCTATACGATGATCGAAATGGGAAGGTGGTGATTGGGTCGGAGCAAGGGCATATTTTGCAACATAAGAAGTATTCATACATTCAGAAGTTTTATAGGTGATCGGGTATAGTAAAAGAATTAAAAGTATTATAACACCAGTACTGATTTCGTGATGTGTTGTCAACAAAACGTCATGATTGCAAAGCGACAATTGGCAAATCACAAGACCGACCCTGTGGTCTAGAGGATAGTGTGTCTGCCCGGATAGGTGAATAAGGGTGGTTCGA